AAAATATTAGATATGTAAATCATTTGTTTTTTAATAACTGTTTCAAAATAAAATTATATATAATGTTTCAAAAATGTAGATTTATCTCTTTTCACAGATTTTCTTAATAAAGAATTAGAAGATGCCTTATGTTTGAATGTATCTTTTACTGATGAACAAGATGTATGTTTGAATATGTTACTCGATACAAAGAATACAAACTGCAATGAGTACAAATTAGACTGTATTAACACGAATAAAAGTGAGTGCATTCAGTATTTTATGAAACATTTTAACTGATCAAATTAGTCTCTATATTCTTGTAAATACATATATTGTTTTAAAGTTATTGAAGACATGTTTTGCTCCTTGTCGAATAAATAAGAAAATTAATTATTTGACAAGGAGCAAAATATGTTTGTAAGATAAATTTAAAAGATAAAAAAGATTAATTATTCAAATAAGAAATATATCTTTTATAATTTTTTCAATAAAGAATCTTTTAAATCTATATTGTTAATTAGAATATTTATGTATTAATCGTTAATTGGCAGATCTATGTCTGACACTGATGATTAATAATTTTACGTACTTTTATTAATATTAAAAATAAATAATACTTGATAAAAATCTACATCAGTTCCAATATTATTAATATTAATTTCTTTAAGCAAAAATAATAAGTTATCACGACAGTATGAAAAATAAACTCTAAAGGAAAAGTATTATAAAATTAATATCTAATATATAGTGTTAGTCGTCATACATGTCATATGCATTAGCATTTCTATTTTTTTGTATATTTGAATCTCATAGATAATAATTTTTCAAATCGTGCGTCACTATTAACGAATACGACAAATAACATTCAGTCATCTACTAATTTGTATTTTGAGAACATTAAAACAATAATAAAAAAATCAAATACTCAATCGGATATTCAAAAATTATTTTTCAGATATGTCAGATGTGACTAAATCAAGTACCGATGCTGATGAAGATGAACGTGAGTATCTAATGATATTCTTATAGATCTTAGATGATGTATTATTTAATTTCTTTATTATAAATTTCTTTCAAATTTCATTATAGCTCAATTTATTTAGATTATCTTAATGAAATAAACAGTTTATCTTTATTATTTTTAGAACATTTTCTAGAGATATAAGCTACAAAAAATAATAGCAATTTTATAAAATTTTTATTTTAGAGTTTATTTTTTATGCTGTCTTGACAATTTATTCTTTTGCTTAGAGAAATTAATTTTAATAATGTTGGAACTGATGTAGTAGTAACTGATGTAGTGTAGTTCAATCAAATATTATTTACTTTTAATATGTTATACAATATACTTTTTTATATTAATAAAAACAATGATAAAATATTTACATTCTTTTTTCTTTTTTCTAAACACTACTATTTTGCCTCTATTCAATACATCAGAATTTTGTATTTATATAATGCATTAAAAAATAAAGAATCTAATAAAACATGTTTTGGAGAAAAGATGCCTAGACTTCTGAATCTTAATTGTATTATCTTTTTTATATTCTAGCTTCTGAATACGCTCCTTCACGTTCTGCAAGTTCTTTACCAACTTACTCGGATGAAAATAATAATACAAAAAATAATAGAAAAAACGTTTCTATTAATAAATCCAACATGTTTAGTGGCCTAGTCATATCCAATGTTCATTCACTAGGAACGAAAACGTGTGACGACAGCGAAATGTATGTCACAGAATCATCAAGAAAACAAACGTACACAAAAAAATTGTTTTTATTGCAAAAAACTGCAGAGCAAAATAGCACGGTACTTAGAAACCACATTCTAATGAAGAGGAAGTTAAAAAATTTACAATATTACCGAAAGGAAATTCCGAGAGAAAAAAAATAATAGAAACGATTCAACGAAATGGCAATTTAACACTAAAAAAGCAATAAACAATGGAGAATTTATCGTTTATAGACTACCAAAAAATTACATATATCTGCAAGCGATTTCTTACCTTGTGTTAAATGTAATGTGTTAAATGTTATGTTGTGTTTTTCAAAATCGTCTCTTCGTTATCATTTTCGTTGTTGCATTGGATGTAATAGCAAACATAGTAAATCAATAATGATATTGGATCATACAATTGTTACAAGAACTCACGAAATAGCTAATAAAATTCTCAAAACAGTTGTCTTCCCTGTATTACGAGATGATGAAATAACGCGTGCAATAAGATATGATCAGTTAATAATTCTATATTGGAATAAGCTTTGCTTAAAGTATAGATTACAGCATCAACATGACATGATTCGGTCTCGTTTACGATTGTTAGGACGTTATCTAGTAACTCTCAGAACAAAAAGTGAAAATATTACTGATTTTGCCTCGTTATATGATCCCAAATTTTATGATGTCGCAATTCCTGCTGTCAATTCTGTAGCAGGTTTTGATGAAAATAAAACACCATCTGTAGCATTTAATCTCGGCACGTATATGAAACATATCGGAGAAATTTTTATTACTGAATGTATAAAAAACCACGATCCTATAAAAATGAAAGCAGCTGAAAACTTTTTAAAATTATTAAGACAAGATTATGGAACAAGCGTTAATAGAACAGTGTTAGAAACACAAATGCAACGAAAGCGACAAAGAAAGATTATACTTCATCGGACAGAGGATATTAGGAAATTGAATGATTATTTAATGAACATGCGACAAAAAGCTTACAACAATTTGATGAAAGAATATTCATATAGAAATTGGTTAACTTTGCTGGAAACAACACTCATATCTGTGCAATTGTTTAATCGTCGACGAGCTGGGCAGACTGAAAGAATACAAATATCAGAATTTAAAAATTATCATTGTATTGACGAAAAGACGAATAGAGATATTTATAAATCACTGTCATAAAAGCAAAAAGATTAGCAAAGAAATGTATCCGTTTTGAAATACGTGGTAAACTTGATCGTACCGTTCCTGTCTTACTTCATCCTGAATTACTGAAATGTATCAATGTTATATTAAATTTCAGTTTAGATGCTAAAGTGCATCATGAGAATCCTTATTTTTTTGGAATATCAAGTTGTGATAAGAAAAGACATAAATATTTAAGGGCAATTTAATGCGAACATTTTCAGAAGCATGTGGAGCAAGTATGTCACACACATTACGTGGAACACAATTAAGAAAGCACATTGCCACTAAATGCATTTCTCTGAATTTATTAGAGCATCAAGTAGATGATTTATCAAATCATTTAGGACATACAGATAAAATCCATAAGCATTATAGATTACCTATTGTTAGTCGAGATATTTTAGAAGTATCAAAACTATTGGAATATGCACAAGGTAAAGAAGAAAATAATAATGAAGATGAAAGCAGTGATGATGGTGCGTGTGCGTGTGCGTGCGCGCGTGCGTGTGCGTGTGTGTGTGTGTGTGTGTGTGTGTGTGTGTGTGTGTGTGTGTGTGTGTGTGTGTGTGTGTGTGCGCGCGCGCGCGCGCGCGCGTGCGCGTGTGTGTGTACTCACATATATACATATACATATTTTTTATACATATATATATATAAAAGTATACACATATCGAAAGTATATTTTTAATGAAATCATTATTCTAGTTATCTTTAGCTTATCTAATCGCAACAAATGCCATACAAAATGTATAAAAATATGATATAAATGTATATTTTTTATGGTTCAAAGAAATCTCTACAACTTTTATAAACTTTAAGATTTGAAATTTTTGATCTTGAAATATTTGTGTGCGTGCGCGTGTGCGTGCGTGCGTGCGTGTGTGTGTATGTGTGTGTGTGTGTATGTGTGCGTGTGCGTGTGCGTGCGCGCGTGTGTGTGTGTGTGTGTGGTGTGTGTGTGTGTGTATGTGTGTGTGTGTGTGTGTGTGTGTGTGTGCATTTTTCTTAATAATATATACAGGATGTCCCAAACTTATCGTGATACGTTAGATCCTGAAATTTATGAGATCAAAACAAAAATCTTAATGTTAATATGTTCACACTACAGTAGTTTTAAAAATGTTTACAGTTGACTAATCGAACTTTCTGAAATTTGTGCGCTCAGGTCTGACATATTACGATAATAAAGATTCTAAACGTCAATTCTATTCTCGGAATTAATTTTTGTCATTTATTTATGGTATTTACACGTGACAGCTATGATAGTTCGATGCATATCGCATTTTAACACATTTTTACTTTACTGTTATTATTTTCATAATTAATTAATTAATTAATAGCTGCATAAGAGAATAAAAGAAGATTTCACCAATAATATATGTAGAATTATTCAGTTTAGAGAATAAAATTGATGTTTAAAAATATCTATTATTGTGCAATGTATTATTCGCATTAGGTATATAAATTTCATACAGTTTGATTAATAAACTTTAAACCTTTCTCATTTGAAAACTATTGACATTTTTAGGATTTTCGTATTTCATAGATATTAAGATTTTTGACTCGAAATAATCTCAGAAATCTATCATTAGTGGAAATAACATGATCTGTCATTTTCAAATTAAATATCAACTAAAAAGAAATTTAAACTTCTTTCATAAATAACAATTTATTAATTTTAATATTTTGCATTATTAAATGTATATCAAATTAATTATATCAATATATTTTTACAATTTATTTAATACTGTGAAATGTGACGAATTTTTTAATTTTAATAATTTTTAAGAATAATAATAAATATTGCAATTTTAAAAATTTATAAAAAATATATATAAAATATAAAATATAAGATATTAAAATATAAAATACTTGACAACATTTACCGCAGCTTAATATGTAAGATTAATAGATTAAGTATGTAAGATTTATAGAATGTTTTATATAATTGACATATAAAAACATTAAGGATTAATTATTTAAATCTTAGAAAGTCTTAGAAATTCTTTATGAAGAGATATAGGGAGTAATCATCTATTTTAACTGTTTAAGGCATCAGATTGATTCATTACTTCTCATCTTGAGTTATGACATTAGAAGCGAAAAAACACATAATGAAAATTCTTGCCAAAACAAGTGTTTTTTGATTAAATAGAGTATTGTATTCAATAAAACATATTTGTAAAATATACATATCAAAAATTTTTCTTTAACACCAATAATCAATAAATAATCATACATTTAGAAAAAAATATCTGATCAAGAATAGAGCTACCACTTAATTTAAATATATGATATATTATACGGATTGATAAACGTGAAAGAAGGGTATTCGGTACATCTTAAATCCGGTACATTTTTAATTCTCTTGAATACAAATGTTATTTTATTGAAAATATTTACATTTTAATTTATTATATTTATATTTTGCATATTTATTATATTTATATATTTATATTTTTATCATGTTTTTTTGTGTTTTATCATGTTTTTTTGTGACATGATTATTCAAACTGGCTGCAGTGAATCAGTAGAAGTTTTAATTTATAACATTAAATATCTTGATAATTAAATATGAAATTAAATTTTATTAAAATCCATTTATATTAAATAAAAAATATAGTTTTGTTACTTATTTGCATACTGAAACATTAATTTGCGAACTCACATTAATTTTTATTTGTTTTTGTAGAAATTTAAAAATTGTTAATGTCTCTCTTTTATTAAAAACGTACTAGATTTAAATAAAAAATCTAAAATTAATATTTTATACGGTAGTATAAATTAACGAAATATAATTCAATTTCTAGATAATTTATTTTAAAATACATTTCAGTTATCCGCACTATCTCAGTGAGAAATAAATATGTAATCGACATCGATGTAATTAGATTATATCGACGTCGATTTGATTCGTTTCTCACTGCATATACAGAGTTATTAGTACATTGAAAACTGCTATACATTAGATATCCTAAGAAGATTTTAAAAAAGACATCTTTAAAATTTTATCGAATAAATTCTGAAGATGTTCAAGATTTTTTAAAAAAGAAATTAATAATTAATTATTATTTTTTACTTATTGTAACATTCTTTTTCTGAGACATTTTTATAATTCTCCTATAATCCTCTAAATCTTGATTGACATAACTATTTGAATAAAGTTATTAATGCATATTTTTAAACAACACGACAAACTCGTTGTTACTTATTTATATAATTGTTTGACATATTTATATACTTTCACATTTCAATAATTTCATATTTAATAGCGTTTAATGTGCCACACAAATGTAGTGCAATAATGTTCAAATTCGTTATTAATATTATTATTTTCCGTCACTTACATATCACAGAATTATGTCCGTTTATATATGTTTTAGATGAATCTAGAGCATTGTTCATTGAAAGTGATTCATATAATAAGACTGTGAGAGATGAATTTTCTTCTGGTAAGCAGAAAAATGAATCAGCATTTAAAAAACATAAAATTCTATTTATTGAACTATAATTATGAGAGCGTGTTT